GTTGAGGTATACCTATGATGAAAATTACAGGCCTCTCTCATCTTTTTAAGTGGGAGAACTTGCACAATTGGTGGCTGACTAAATACGTAGTTTCGGTCACCATCCTGATTTTTTTTACACCCCACCCCCCAGACACCCCTAGGTGCAGCCTGCATAGACGTACATAGTATTTGAGATTAGAAATTCTAGATTTGTTAAGCAGGGTGGCCCATGAGACACAGGGGAGGTTCTTCCCTCTGCGGATTGGATGGCTTCTAGCTCTATTTCCCTCTTTTCTTGGGTATTTCATCTTCTGGTTACTTGTTATTTGTTTGTTATTCTTGGTTATTTCATCTTCTGGACCTCACTTTTCTTAGGAAGTTGCCTACTTCACGGCTGTTTCATCATTAAGAGCTTCTTTAATGTCGAATGACATTTCTGGCTGAATGACAAACTATCAGCTGTGTCTCAAATCTTTTAATGAGGGTTTGGCTTTTATTAGTTTGCCTGAAGTCAGATAAGCTTAATTCATAGCTCTGTTTACTGATAACCGAAAGGGAGATGCTTTTCTGATTAAGGGGAATGTATGGAATGATTTGTTTCCAATTACATCTGTGTGGCAACACTGGTAGTTTTTCTCCAGTGATCTTTCTAGCATTTTTCTCCTCCTCCCCTTCTGTAAATATTTTTTTTTTTTTTGAGGGATTCCCATCTCAGTTCCAGCTGGATGAGGGCTTCATACTAGCGCTCACTTTTGCATTCTTAGTTATTTATTTAAAAACATTTACATCCCCATTTCTAAACCTCCAGGACCCACGAATTAAGAAATCAAAAATAGTTCAAAGTACTGTACAGCAGAGCTATTTTTCTCTTTATTTTTCTTTATTTGTGAATTTATCTCATGTTATTTATTCAATCATTTTTTTATCATGCTTTGCTACTTCAAAACTATTCACAGGCATTGCCATTAATTAAGAGTCCCATTCCATTGCAAATCCTTGGTTTGTATTGTTTGTATTCCATTACAAATGAACGGTTTGACTTTTTAATCTGTTAACTAAATTGACTGTGCATCCATATATTTACAGGCTTTGAAACCCGAGTAATTCTCTACGCTGTTTCATTTTTAATCTATTTTTATGCATTTGGTCGTTAGGAAAAAGATGTACCTGAGACTTTTGGAAGATGGTGATCCTTTGCAGCGCCCACAGGCCGTCTGCTGGGTCGGATGTCCGCTTAAAAGGACAATAGAAAGCAAGAGTTCATATCTGAATAAGGTGACATAAACATCTATAATGACAGGAGAATATAGCGAGGAACTCATATGGCCACTGTGACCACATGCTCTCTTTAACCTGGTTCTAAGTTAACCCATTTTCTGGGTTTGCAGAATACATGCAGCCATAAATTAATTGAATGGCTTATGTTCACGTAAAGCAACCTACTTAAGCTTAGTAGGTTATGTGAATGCAGCCACTAGGTTTCGAACTGCCCCGGTTAAGCATGTTGGTCAGAAAAATCCGCTGCTGGATGGATTTGTTTGCTACTAAAGACTCTCTTCCTACAATGTCTATACTTATGAAAGATGTGTGAGAATAGAGAAGAGAAATCTCCCCACCTTTTGTTTTAGTATTTGCACTGGTGAAAGTTGCCAACTGATAATGTTGGATTTCATAGTGTGCAAACAAAAAGAGAACCCTAGCTTACTTGAGCGGTAAGTTGTGCTAATGGCAATTAGTATAAAGGCTTAACATTGGTAGAGGAAGGCTTATTTGTTATACAAAAGCTGTCGAGATCCTCCAGGTGAAAAGGACTCTATTCCTGAGTACCAGAAGTGAAGGAAGAATCATAGAGGACAATTGCCTTGATGTTCTGGCTACCATTGGAGGAAAACTGCTGAGCAAAATGGGCTTTGGATCTGATCTAACAAGGCAGTTTTTAATCTTCTATGTCTGGGGGGAGAGAAACAGAGTGATCTGTCCATGAAACATGTGGCTGAAATGCAAGAGATGAATTTCAAGTGGAAGGAAAAAGAAGCTGTTGGTGGACCTCTCAGCAGCTTTGCTTACCCAGGCAAGTGGGAGGCTTCCCTGTCCAGCTGCCGTCGGCCTTACAAGTCCGGTGCTCTGATCCTCCAGTGAGATAAAAGCCACTCTGGCAAGAATAGATCAAGGTGTATCCCAGCGAAGGCAGGTCCAGAGCGCCCACGTTGGCATGGGCTGGGGTATCTGGTTCCTTGCAGTTGTGTGCTGCAAAGACATGGAGGAGAGCATCTCATGGAGCAAGCATTACTCCACATCAACCAGACCTAAGCAAGGGCAGAAGACCGCTTTCCCAGCCTGGTATCCTCCAGATCTGTTTGGACTACATCCCCCAGAATTCCCAGCAGGTTGTTGATGTTATTTGCAAACGTCAGGTATTGGACCTGAAGAGCACCAGGTTGGGAAAGGCTGCTGGTTGGGTGAAAAATTAAAGCCTGTCTGAAACCATGAGTTGGCTTGATTCAGAAGGAGGCATCTTCTGATAAAATCTCTTCAGATACCTCATTCCTCCTTGCCCATTTCCAGGGTTCCCACTGTGCAGGCTGTTCTTCTCACTTCCATATCATCTACCCAGGCAGCAAATTTTAAGATCTGGCATCCAAATATGTGCTCCAAGCCCTGGATCCTTAGCATAGACTGTGCTGCCAATGCCCAGGAAGCCGTTCTGCTTGGCAACCGGGTCATAAGACTTACGGATGCAGTTTGGCTGAATTCCACTCCATGTCAGATTTGGAAGGCAGGTTCTGGTGGTGGACCCTTGTAGCAGATACCCTTTATGACACTTGAAGAAGATGATGCTCCCAACCTATTGCAATGGGAAACAATGCAAACTTAGCATGTTGTGTGAATGCAGCTGCCAAGTTTGCAACGGATGCAGTTAAAGATGGAGCCCACGTATTTCAACCACATACATTACCTGTTTTCTCACTCTCTAGGGAAGTGTAGACCAAGGGCTACATTTGGCCTCAAGAGGGATGCTAGGCTGTTTTTCAAAAAGTGACCACAGCCTGAATTTGGTTTAGCTTACATTAAATATGATGGAAATTAAACACAAATCACCAGCCTTCTGGAGGCTGCTAAAACCCTGGTTCTTCAGGAATTGACCATGGAGCCATTGCTACTTACGCTGGATCCATTAACTTCTGTTTCTAACAACGACAGCGACAAAATAGTTACAAGGAATGAACATAAGCTGTATTATTATTAGATCTTATTACACTTGATCTTAGCCAAAAGGCCGAGATGCGATTATTATTGTTTTCTGTATTTATATCTGCAGAGTGCCTAAAGTCTACTAGGACTGAGAGGGTGAATAAATCACACAGAAAAATAAATCACATAAATAATAATAGGGTTATTCCTTTTTCTAAACAACAACAACCACCATCTAATGGAGGGTTAAAAAAGTTTCATAGGCTTCACTGACTCCAGGAGTTATAAGCTGTGCACCCAACCCTACAGGGGCCAAGAGGCAGTGTGTAAAGCTGGCTGCCCACAGGCATCTGTGGGGGAGAGGAAGGAGAAGGAGAAGGAGAAGGAGAAGGAGAAGGAGAAGGAGAAGGAGAAGGAGAAGG